GCTACAACCATTTTTCCGTAACAATTCCGTAGCTATCCGCTTATTGCTACGGAATAGCTACGGATTGTGCCGTAGCTATTGATCAAGTTTTCTAGTAGTAATTATAAAAGGATTACATACCAGAGGTGCTTCACTTCTATAATGGTTTTGGAAGGAATGAAATTTTTCAAAATGAATTGTAATTCAACAATAAAAGTTGAATAATTTCCACATATAAGAATTCTTTTTATTTAAAACCCGATTTTTAGTTAAATTGGTCTCACTGCCTAGGCATCCCAGTTTAACACTAAAATCATGAACACATAAACATAGGAGATTTATGTTTAATTTGAGAAAACACAATAAACAAACTTATACACATTATAAACTAACTTATATAGTAATATCAACTTAAAACAATGGTGAATAACAAAACTTGAATAAAACTCACTGAGTAATTAAATTTTATCATATTTGAACTTTAACCTAGTCACAAAACATTACAGGTATAAATATTAACACATGCAACATAACCGTGAGTTTTAAAAATGGTAAAATCATATCTACAATTGTCATTAATAATGGTGATTTATAGCTTAAAGAAGAGTGTTATCATTACATATTGAAAAATTAAACATTATTCAGGTAAAGGTATTAACCAAACATACTTACATGATTAATAAGATATTTCTGTAAGCGTCACTTCTTCATTTTTAAGCTTATGTTCTGCAATTTTGATCCATCTGATTCCACTTTTGTCAAATTCGATTGTTCACATTTTCCTCATATAGCATTGGCCACCAATGGAGAGAATAGACAAAGAGAGTTTATCAATGAATGAACGGTGTAACAATTCCCGATCTAGATGGAGTTATCGAGACATGGAGGCGGTGGAAAAAAAATCCGACGGAGATGCAAGATTGATGACGGAAGATGATTAATTCTAGATCTGGACGGAACTGAGGAATAGCAGAGTCTGTGGATTCAAAATTTGCTGGAGATGAGATCTATTAGGGAGGCGAGAGTCATTCCCTCCCAACCCACTAAACCCACTGCCACATCACTTTTCCTCTTTTATTTTTCTTCATCTTTCCGAACGCACAACACACGAAACCCTATCTTTTTGAACCCACTCAATTAAAAAAAATACAAAACAATGTGAGAGAGAGAGAGGGAGAGTGTGGATGTGTAAAAAAACGACAAAAAGTGAGATACTTTAGGAATTGTTTTCTTTTTTAGTTGTATGTAATTAATTTGATTATTAGGAATCTTCATAAATAAAAAAATCATTAATTTTTGTATTTTTGATTATGTTTTTGGATGATTACAAATGAAGGAATTGAAAACAAAAACGAAATTATTAAACTGTGTGCGTGTGTTAAATTTTCCGGTCCTTGTGGTCAAACACATAAATAAATGTACAATAATGTTGTGCATAAAGCCAAAAATACAATATGAAAATCTTGACTTTAAATTATAGAACCCATATTTTGTTGGGCTGGAAGCATCAATCTTATTGAAGTCGAAAAATAAAAAATTACTTTTTCTGCAAGTTAATTTTTTAATCCTGTAAACGTCAAAATCAGGTTTATAGTTTTGTGTGGGAATCAAAGTCTTTGAATGGAAATTTGAGGCCTAAGAAATTTACATATCCTGTGGAGACCATTTAAAGGAATATAAGTTTAGGGATATTAATTTTTTTTATTGACTCCAAATTCTTCCAAGGTTACTTTCTATTTGTTGTTGTGTAAATGAATTGATGTCTTGGTCATCAGTTTCTTAAAACCAAATAAAACGTTATGATTTTGGAAGAATGAACTCACAATAATTGAAAAAGTAATTCAATGAGTTTGAAAATAAGACCAGAAATACAATGCTATCATGTCATATTGTCATGTGTGATTGATTATAGCCTATAGGATCAGAATGATTTATTCAGGCATATTAAAATAAAATTAATAAATAGCAAGTTTGACATTTAATAAAAATCAACGTTCGGTAAGTTGAACAAATATTGATTCAACATTTCAAAGCTTCTTTTAATTTGATTTTCTTGAAAATCATGCATGTTTACTATAAAACATATTATTAAATGTTATCAATTCCTTTGATTTATTATTTCCATTGACTTAAACAAGAAAAGATAAATCAATGTTTGCATTTTTATTTTCATATCGGTTCAATAGTTGGTTTTATCAAAAGGTATTTACAAATATAGCTGAAAATTTGATTTTAGTTAATAACCAATTTAAGGGAACTTATTACAAAATAAAGAATGACCCAAATCAATTCATTTATTCATGCCATTTGATGAAGAAGTAACTTAGGTGACAAAAAGAACATAAAATTAAAGAATGTAAATGCCATGAGGAATAGAGTTTGCCAAAAACCATTTATTTTGTTTTAAGAGAACACAAAAAATAGCCTACTATCAGAAACATTACTAGTTTGTGGATACAAACTGTCCATTGACTTCCAAGTCTTCCATGTAAATAACAATTAACAAATACATTTACGTTTGCCATGGGGAATGGATTTAGCTAAAAACCACTTATATTGATCAATAGAAAAATTCAAATAGCCTATGCCCAAAAGAATACAAGTGTGTGGATAAATATTATCCATTGATTTCCAAATCTTCCATGTCAATGAGTTAGTGCCATTATAGATGTGAGTGCAAACCTAAAAGGTTTCATGATATCAATTGTCATTTTTGACAGAAAAATACAGTTTATATTTTCATGTAATCCACTATCTGTGTAAGACAGCATGGATGTTGCATCTTATACACATTAAAGATCGTTCTTGTTGCAACTAAATGTATGAAAACCTTAAAGACATGAGTTCTAGCATGCAAAAATAGTTTTATTTAAATGTAATTAATATACAATATGAATGTTTGGACTTAAAGCTATAGAACTTTTCTTCTATTGAGTTGGTCACATCAACCTTGAGACATAAGACACTTACATGTGGTGTGGGGACTAATAAAGAACATATAATTAAATTGTGGACATAAATTTCCATTGACGTTACAAAGTCTTCCAAGGACTCTTTGTTTTTATTGTTTTATGACTAAAGTACATTTTTTTGTCATTGTGTTTAGATGTTTTTTTTGGATCATGTCCAAAAAGAAATCTTTTTGCAATTCTGATCCTTATTTGGAGTGTTTTATAACGCTTTTGGTCCCTCTACTATCAACTTTAACAGTACATCTGTTAAAGTTTTAAAAAATGACCAATTTGCCCGTACTTAATATTTTCAAATTTGTTATTAAATGTTCTTTAGTATCTTACCACCACCACTACTACCTTCATCTTCCCTGACTTAAAACAAGGAATGTAATTACAGGTTATCAAAAAAATATGAAAGGGAAAAATTGTCATTTTAGACTGATTTTGGTTTAATTAATCACATAGAGAAAAGGTTTGGACACTGAAGATGGGTTTGTTTATAGGGTTAAAGCCAACCTTCTGGATATGCTTCATAAGCATTCAAAGAATTCTTGGTTCATCCAATTCAAATATCTTGATAATTTTGATTTTTTGCCATTTTGATCCTATGGCATTATGGTAGTTTTAACCATTTACATCCAAAATGAAAGGGCAAAATTGTCATTGTAATAATTCTAACATATTTTCTATTAAAGTTGACGTCTCAGGGACCACTTTTCAAATCAACCAACACATTATGCTTTTGGAAGAATGGTTTCACGATGAAATAAACAAAGTGATATAATGGGATGACAATAAGATAAAAATAAGTTGAACTCATACTGATTCATCATTTCAAAGCTTCTTATCATTTGATTTACTATAATGGTAAAAATTTGTCGTCGAAAATTTTAGTAAATGTGATAATTTTGTCTCTTATCATTTCCTTCCATCAAATTATTATTTCCATTAACAAGAAGAAACAAATCCATGTTTGTAATTTTATTTTTCTTATCGGTTCAATAGTGGGTTACAATAAAAAGTTTATATCTATACAAATATGGATGAATTTCTTATTTTAGTTAATAAATGATTGACTGGTACTTATTACAAAATTATTTACACAAGTAAGACATTATTTTTATTAAAACGGTTCACAAGGTTTGATGCAGATAAAAAAGAAAACAAAAAATACACTTACGTCTTCCTTGGGTAATGATGTGCCCAAAAAATCACTTATATTGATCAATAGAAAAGACAAATAATCTATGCCCAAAAGAATACTAAGTAAATATCATTATATATGTGAGTATAACTCTAAAATGTTTCATGGTATCAAATGTCATTTTTAACAGAAAAGTACAGTTTATATTTTCACGTAATCAACTTTCTTTAAATGTCAACACAGAAGTTGCATCTTATACACATTAAAGATCGCACGTTTTGCAACTAAAATGCATAACAACCTTAAAGACATGAGCTTCTAGCATGCAGCAATAGTTTTATCAAATCTAATAAATTTAAATTTAATTTGGAACCTAAAATCAATACCTATCTCAAATGTGTTTGAAAATATCAAAAGCGTTTAAAGGAATGCCTTTGAGCATTCTTTTTGGTTAAAGTCTTTCCTAAGTCTGATATATTATAGACTGATAAACAAATTTAATCTGTCTATTGTATCAGGTGTGAACATTGTTAAAAGGCAGCAGCTCCGGAATATTAGAGGCTTGATGCTAAGCTTCTAGAAGGCCAAAATCCAATTTAATTGGAAAGGTAATTTATTCAAATAATTTGAAAGAAATTTATAGCTATTATTTTTGAAATCTGCTCGTTAGTGGGCTTTGATCGGTTTTTCATTCTGTTTGATAGTTGACTTCATTGACGTTTCAACTTGTAAATGCTTATTTGTCAAATATACACAAGAATACAAGTCTCTCCTTTACCTTAAAGTCTTCAATTATGGCTTTATAAATCGACTACTTTCTTCAGCTTAACAACTTGTCACTTCATCTTAAACATCCATCTTTCCACTTCAATTTTTCGTCGAATCTCTAAATTAACTTAGTTAGGGTTTTGATAATGGGGAATATGAGGGGTTTGGGGCTCCATCTCATTTTCGTATGTGGTTTTCTGTTTGCAGGAGCCACATATACTTCTACTTGTTTGGGTGATGGAAATACCAGTTTCACTATTTGCTCTGAGAAAGAGAGACTTGCTCTTCTCAAGTTCAAAGACAGCGTTGAAGATCTCTCTGGAATGTTGTCATCATGGGTTGGCATTGACTGCTGCATGTGGGAAGGAATCCACTGTGATGGTATCACTGGGAAGGTAGAAAGCCTTCATCTCAGAGGAGATTACTATGATTGGGTTGAAGGCTACAACAACTACTTAGTTAGTAATGAGGTGGACTCTTCTTTGGAAGATTTGAGGCATCTCAAATACTTGGACTTGAGTGGGAATGATTTTCAAGGAAGTCGGATCCCAAAGTTCATCAGATCCTTCAAACAACTGAGCTACCTCAATCTGTCGCATGCTGGTTTTGAAGGTATTATTCCTCCTCACATTGGAAATCTTTCTAATTTAAAGCTTCTTGATCTCAGTTGGAATGAAAAGCTGATGGCAGATGATATGGAATGGACTTTTGGCCTTTCGTTACTTAAGCATCTCGATTTGAGTTTGGTAGATCTTGGTGGAGCACAAAACAGGGGCATGTTGTTTTACATGATTCCTTCTTTAAAAGAGTTAAGTTTGTCACATTGTGGACTTTCCAACGCTGATCTTCGTCCTTCTCTTAATTCTAGTCGAATACGTTCCAACATCAAACACTTGGATCTTGGCTTCAATTCTTTCGGAGGTCCACTCCCTGGATTTTTTCAAAACATGTCATCCCTAACATTTCTGGATCTTTCATCTTTTAATGTCAGTTTGGCATGGAACTTTGCAAACCTGCTAAGCATGATACCTTCTTTAGCAGAGCTGCGTTTGTCAGATTGTGGCTCGATAAGACGCATCTATCTTCCACTCATGTTAATGTCAGTACACTTTCCAACATCCAACGCCTTGATCTCAGCAAAAATTCAATTGAAGGCACATTTCCATCTGTTTTAAAAAACATGAGTTCCCTAAGAATCCTTCACTTCTCACATAACATGCTGAGTTCACCGGTTCCTGTTATACCTAATCTTGTAGGTCTTTATATTTCCCATAACTGGTTAACCGGTCCTATTCCTACATTCCTTGGGAATCTTTCCAAACTTGATCTTTCTTTTAATCAATTGAATGGTTCAATTCCAGAATTCGTTGGAAATCTAGCTGCTTTAACACATTTGGATCTAAGCGTCAATTGGTTAACAGGCCCAATCCCAACATCTCTAGGAAAACTTGTTTCATTACAATTAGTTAGTCTGAATTCGAATTTATTAAATGGAACTATTCCAGTTTCAATCGGCCGAATTGCTAAACTCCAAACTTTAGATTTATCTAACAATTCTTTAGAAGGAGTAGTTTCTGAAGCCCATTTTGCTAACCTTTCAATGTTGAGGTTTTTGGATGATTCTTATAACACCAAGTTGACATTCAATGTTTCACGTGACTGGATCCCTCCATTCCAGTTGGTATCTCTTGACCTCAGTTCTTGCAATATTGCAAATGGATTCCCGCAGCGGCTTCAAAATCAAAGGAAACTTTATAAGTTAGTGTTGTCTAATGCTTCAATCTTAGGACCTCTGCCCAGATGGTTGCGGAGGATGCCCATCATACTTCACTTCGATCTCTCTCATAATCAACTGATCGGACCTTTAACAAACCTTCCCAGTGGGGAAACTTATGGTGGGTATGTAGATGCTCCATTCGTTATTTCTGGAAAACAACTTTTTCAATGAGTCGATTCCAAGTTCATTGTGCAGAAGGACAGATTTAGTATTTCTTGATCTTTCCGAAAATAGGTTAACTGGTAAAATTCCCAAGTGTCTTGAAAATCTGCGTGGGTTGTTTACCATGATACTTAGCTCGAATCGGCTGTCTGGTGTCATTCCAAGCTCTGTAGCTCTTAATTTATTGCGTCGGTTGAAATTGAATGACAACAACTTTGTTGGTGAGCTTCCTCGAGAATTGAGGAATCTACGATATTTATGTATCTTAGATGTGGGTAATAATAGATTGTCTGGAAATCTACCCGAATGGGTCAGGAAAGAACTTAGATATTTGGCGGTTTTGAGGTTGCACAAAAACAACTTCACCGGAAGAATTCCTCAGTCATTTTGCAAAGCTTCAAATCTTAGAATTTTGGATGTTGCAGACAACAACTTAAAGGGAACCATCCCTCCTTGTCTTGGAGAATTGATTGCCATGGTTAGTGGTAGAAGGTATCGGCCCTTTGAACATCCCTCTTTCAACAGTGATGAGAATGTACAGCAGGTCATGAAAGGTGTTGATATTGAATATACAAGAACTTGGTATATGGTTTATAATATGGACCTTTCAAGCAACAGACTTGTTGGAGAAATACCGGTCGAGCTAACTGCACTTTCAATGTTGGTGGGCCTCAATTTGTCTAATAATCATCTCAGTGGGCGTATTCCAGACACCATAGGAAACATGTCAGAGTTAAATTCTCTTGATTTATCTGGAAACGAGTTGACTGGTGTGATCCCTCCGAGCATGGCAGATTTGACTTTTTTGAGTCATTTGAATTTGTCACACAACAACTTGTCGGGACGAATTCCAACAGGAAGCCAACTGCAGACTCTCACTGATTCATCGATATATGAAGGGAACAAAGATCTGTGTGGACCTCCATTGCCAAAGAATTGCATAAATCCAGGAGAAGACCCAACAACAATAACATCCACTAGCGAGAAGAAAGATGAAGCAGCTGATGAGAAAACCAAGGTATGGCTGTTTTACGTGGACATAATTTGTGGTTTTGCAACAGGTTTCTGGGGTGTTATTGGGGTTTTGTTGTTGAAGAGGCAATGGAGACACAAGGTTTTCATGTTTGCAGAGGAAAGCATGGACAAGATATATGTTGCAGTTGTGGTAAAAGTTAACAAGATCAAAAGAAGAAGAGAAACCGCATAGTATACTATGCAAGGACTTTTCAGTGTTTATTTTGCTTTCTAATACCACTACTGTGTTTTTTTATACTACTGTTTGGATTTTATATTTGTAATATGGATGTTTAATTGTGTCACTGTTGGAACATTTGTTGGATTTGGTATGTATATATACAAGATCAAGTAGTTACATTAGACTACTAGGGAATCGAGTTCCTTAGGATTTCAAAAGAATCCGTGTGTAGCAGGATTTCAACATGAAATACCATGCACTCTTTCACTCTCTAACTTGCTTCTGCTCTCACCACAACTTGCAGCTGATTTTTGTCACTTTTCATCTAAATGGCTCCAAGTAAGAATCAGGTAATGCAGTCATTATCTATTTTCTGGTTGAACCTTTTGTGGTTCTGCTGCTGCGTTTCAAGCTTTGCATCTTTCTACTTCAGTTCTTATTGTTAAATATATTGTTTAGTTATTTCTCTTTTTATACTTTTTACGTAGTATACAGTCCCTTTGTGTAATATGTACTCTATATATTCATTCTATTCACATAACCCTAATTGATGGGTTTTTCACATCATTAAACATGGTATCGAGTCTTCCTGTGTTTGCTTTTTGAATCGATTGCACAAGTACCAGATGTATTTCTCCAATTTTTTTCGGCGCTGCCTCAAGTTCTTTCTCATCTGTCCTTGTCGATCAAAGCCATTGCCTGAGGTTTTTTTTTTTTTTACTCTGTTACTTCCTGCCTCCTGTGCCATCTCGATCACAGCATCCTCCAAGCAATCTCCACTGATCGCAAATCTCTTGCAGGTTCACTACCCAATTTCTGCTGATGTTTATTGAGTTAAACTACTTGTACATTTAAAAATTTTCTTCCTTTGGTTTAGCTTTATGTTCATTATTTACTATTCTTGTTAGATTTATTTTCCTGATTTCCTTTATTTCTCATGTCCACTGTACCAACATCGAGCTCCATGCACTACCTCCCCCAGTGCAACACAACTTGTCTTCGCACTAACCAATGTCCACAACTAGTTTAGCTTTAAACTATCGGTTGATGAGTCCAAATAGAAACTGTGGAAGCGTATCTTCGTAGACATGTGCAAAGGAGCTAAGGTGCATGGTCATATTACTGGCAAATCCCTCCCAAAATGTGATGATGATGAAACATATGAAAATGTCATCTTGAAATTTGACTTTTATATGACTTTTATACAATTCACAAGGTGTTCGTTAAAATGATTGGAAAGAATGTTTAATATGTTTTGTATTTAACTATGAATGGTGTATGTATCGTTGGATTAATTAATTGTGAATATGTGTTTTAACTGTGAATTGAACGTATTGACGGTATTAAGTTGTAAATTGACTGCATTAAGTTGTGATAATTATATTAAGCTATGACTTGATTGTAATTGTATTATACTGTGAATTATATATATATATATATATATATATATATATATATATATATATATATATATATATATATATATATATATATATATAACTTTATCTAATTTTGAATAAAATGTAAAATTTAAATTGTGAATATTTTTATAAATAAACTTTAAAGGAAGGACTAGCCTATATATATAAAGATATAAATATAAAATTTAAGTTGAGAATATGACTTTTAATGTATAATTTTGTGTATTAAATAGTGAAATTATAATATTAAGTTGTGAATTTTGTGTTTTAAACAATATACACATCTCTTCTTTTTTATTTTATTGAATCATTATATATTATTTCTTTTAGTGAATTCTTTTTTTAATTTCTTTTTTATTGGATTATTATATATTAATAAATATTATTTTTAATATACAATATATATATATATATATATATATATATATATATATATATTAATAATTATTAATTTAAATTAGTTAATTTTTTTAATTTCATTTTTGTTGGATTAATTCTTTTTTGTCGGACCAAGTTTTGAGACATATTTTGGACAACTGCACCATTGATGAACATGTGAGGATGGTGGTGTTGTCCACAATATGTTATCTTCGAAATATTTAAAATAAATGAGGATAGGTGGGGTGGGTGTGATTTTTTAGTTAAAATAATTAAGAAAAGAGTTAAATGAAATTAAAAACAATTAAAAAAAATAAATAAAAAGGAATTAATCTAATAAAACTAAATTAATTAAAAATTTAATGTATAATAATTGATTAAATTAAAAAAAAAAGATCCAAAATTAAAAAGAATTTATTAATGTATATAATTCAAAAAGTACTAAAAAAATTAGTAATCCAATAAAATGATTTTTATTAATATACAAATATTATATATTTAAAATAATATTTATTAATATACAATAAGCAAATAAAAAAATTTAAAAAAATTAATAATCAAATAAAGTAATATGTATTAATATATAAAAATTATATATTAAAAAAATTTATTTATTAAAATATAATAATCAAATAAAAAATAATTTAAACAAAAAAAGAAATTTAAAAAAAAAGAATTAGTTAAAAGAAATTATGAATCTAATAGAGTGGAGTTGCTATACCGATGGTTCATACGTCCGAGCAGTTCCCCGTGGGGATCACCGATCATGTTTTATAAAAAGAAGGATGGATCACACACGATATGCATTGACTACCGAGAGCTGAGCAAACTAACAGTGAAGAACCGTTATCCGTTGTCGAGGATCGATGATTTGTTCAATCAGCTGTATGGTGTGTTTTGGTTTTCCAAGATTGATCTTAGGTCGGGGTACCATCAAATGAGGATCCGGGATGAGGATATACCGAAGACAAGTTTCAGGACTTGGTATGGGTATTATGAGTTTGTGGTGATGCCGTTTGGACTCACCAATGCCCTTGGAACGTTCATGGATCTCATAAACATAGTATGTAGACCGATGATGGATCGGTCGGTGATTGTTTTTATTGATGATATCCTGATCCATTCTAAGACCAAGGAGCAACATTAGCAGCATTTGAGGGAGGTACTGGAGACTCTGAGAGCAAAGAAGTTTTATGCAAAGTTCTCTAAGTGTGATTTCTGCCTACGAGAAGTACAATTTTTGGGTCATATCATCAATTAGGAGGGTATTTCGGTTGATCCAGCCAAGGTTGAGGCGGTGGTGCGGTGGGAAGTACCGAAAAATTCATTAGAGATCCGTAGCTTCTTGGGTTTAACGGGCTATTACCGGAGATTTATCTAGGAATTCTCCAAGATTGTTGTGCCATTGACATGCTTGACCACGAAGAATGTGACCTTTCAGTGGGGCACGGATTAGTAGATAGCTTTTGAGACCCTGAGATGGAGGTTATGCAAGGCTCCAATCCTAGTACTACCCAAGGAGTTAGATGATTTGGTGGTTACTATGAGGCATCGATCTCAGGGTTAGGTGTGGTACTGATGCAGAGGGGGCACGTGCTAGCTTACGCCTCGAGGCAGTCGAAGCCTCATGACGCGAATTACCCAACTCATGACTTGGAACTGGGTGTAGTTGTGTTTTCCCTCAAGATTTGGAGGCACTACTTGTATGGAGTGCGGTTCACCATTTATACCGATCACAAGAGTTTAAAGTACTTGATGGATCAGCAGAACCTTAACATGCGACAAAGGAGGTGGCTGGATGTGTTGAAGGATTATGATTGTGAGATCATATACCATCCAAGGAAGGAAAACGTAGTGGCCTATGCGTTTGGCCGCAAGACGGCGGGGTCCCCGATTGGGAACATCTGTAGGAGGATGACAATGATTTCTCCTTTGTTGAATATAATCAAAGAGGCCCAGGTCGATGGGTTGAAGAAAAAGAATTGGAAGATAAAGAAAATTCGGGGCAAGTATCCTTTGTTTGTTAAGGATAGTTGTGGCCTTTTGACACAATTGTTGGATTAGGTGTCTAAGCCCATAACTATAATTGGTATGTACTTGAATTGATAGCAGCACAGTCCTTTTGGGTTGGCCTCAAACCTAGCAACCGGACAAGGAAATTATGAAAGGAGAGATATTAATTTATTATAAGATTAATAAATTAATATAAATGAATTTATCAATATGTTAAAAGATTAATATATTAATAAGAAATAATTATGTTTAATTAATTGTTAGCCAAAAATTAATTAGAATTAATTTTGGGGATAAAAGAATTAATTATAAAGTGTAGGGACTAGTTTGCAATTAACTGATAATTGAATGGAAGGATCCACAACCCCCTTGGAAGGAGGTGGACGAAAACCCTAGGGAAAACCCTAGAGAATTCGTCCAAAGGATCCAAGATAAGGCCCTTGGGTTTTGCTTAGCCGCTAAGCAAAGGATAACTAGGGTTTCCCCTAAACCCTAGATCTTTCAACTATTTTAGGAGCCTCCTGGCTCACATTTTAGGTCACTGATTTCTTTGGAAGAAACCCTGGCTGAAATTTCATACTCTCTCCATCCTCTCTCCTTCTAGTTTCCTTCTTGCTAGTTTTTGGGTGTGATTCCATTAGAGGCATTACACTTGTGATGCTAAGCTTCCAAGAAGATCAAGATCAAGATCAAGGGAATTATCAATTATTTGCTATAACAATTGAAAGGTATGTAACTCCTAAACCCTAGTTTACTATTTTCGAAAATAGCCTCCTCCTCTAGGGTTCTTATTTTGCAATTCAAAGTTGTATGTTCAATAGTTAAAACATAATCCAAAGTAGGTTGCATGTGAACTTAGGAATTGTTTTCTAGTTTATTTGTTTTACCTAAAACCCATCAGTGGTAGCAGAGCCATTGTTTTGTTTTAAATTGAATTGCTATAATTGTTGAATTGCAAATTAGGGTTTCGAAAATCCTAGCCTCCAAAGAACCTTAATCGGAATTAGGGTTAGGGTTTTGAAAACCCTAGCCTCTTCCCTTGTAAATTTCGAAATATGCTAGATATTTTAGGTTTCTTGTTTTGGATAATTGTTACTTGATTAGATTAATTGGATAATTATCCTTTACCCTAATTTTTGAAATTTAGAGGGATAAGGATTAGGATTAAATTAATTGATTAATTTGATTAGATAATCGTTA